CACTCCCTCCCCCAGCACCCCCACTGCCCCCAGCTACCCCCTCTTTGTCTTCTGTTGGAAAGGCATCCCCTCCACTTGCCGGGTTTGCGAAAGCCCCCAAACCCAGACCACCCAGCCCAGAGGACACTGCCTCCTGCGCCCCTGTGGACTGGAGAGACCCCAGCCAGATGGAAAAGCTTCGTAGCGAGCTGGCAGCCTATCTCTGCGGCTCCAGGAGGGAGAACCGGCCCCTCAGTCACAAGCCAGCCCAGGGCCAGGAGAGCCCCAAAGGCCCCAAGCTGCTTGAGAAAGGGGCTCCCCCGAGCTTGCCTGAGAAGGGGGCTCCCCCGAACTTGCCTGAGAATGGGGCTCCCCCGAGCTTGCCCGAGGAGGCTCCCCCAAGTGTTCCTGAGAAGAAGATCCCCCCAAACAGCACCCTACCAGAGAAAGAAGCGGCCACCACCACCAGCCTGCCCCTGCCCCCTGTGGACTACATCCCCCAGGACACCACACTGCCCAGTGTCCGGCAGATCCGGGAGAAGCTGGAGGCCCAGTTTTCCCCCTCGGCAGAGAAGGAAACCAAGCCCGGCTCGGGGTCCTTGCCACCCAAACCTCTGCCTGAAGTGCGCAGAATCTTTGAAAACGGGGCTGCTAAGGGCAGAGGCTCTCAACCTGTGGCTAAGAACCTGCCACCTGCGTCCATCACATCCCTGCCAGCGAAGCCACTCCAGCCCAAGCCCACAACTGGACCAGCCACACCACCCAAGGCCATGCCTGGACCCCTTACACCATCGGCCACTCCACCTGCCACACCGGCCCAGCTGACGGCCGGGAAGGATCCGGTCCCCGCAGAGCAAGGTGAAAAGCCCATGGGATCACCAGGGCTTGTGGTGCACCCCCAGCCAGAGGCAAAGGCGCCCCCCTCAACAGCCAGTAAGCTGCCTGCCCAGGGTGGGTCTTCAGCTCCGGCCCTTCCACCCAAGACATCCTCCACCCAGGGGGAGGGGCTGTGTCTCTACAAGCCCCATCGCCCCCTGAACAGCCCCAGTCAGCAGGCTGCTGTGACAAGGCCCAAGCTGGACAGAGGAGAGGCTGCAGGGCCAGAGGTGACTGTGGGAGCGAAGGAGCCCCCGGCGCTGTTAGACAAGAACCCCGTCTCACCGCCACCGGCTGAGGAACTCCTCAGGCACCCAGTGACTGGGGAGGTGGTGGAGCGCGGGTCGCCCATGGCCCTGCTCCTCGCAGCACGTCAGAGGGCTCAGAAGGGCCGGCCTGGGGGGGCTGCCCTCGGCCGGTCCTCCCTGCCAGGGAGTCTCCGAGGCCCCCGCAGTCCACCCGAGGCAGGCTCTGACAGCATCGTGTACAATGAGGGCCTGCCCAATTCCTTCACCGTGGTCCCCAAGCCGTCTAAGGACACCAGGAATGACCGCCAGCCAGACTCCTCGGCGCAGCCCACGGAACCCAGCCAGTGGAAGCCCCAGCCCCTCGGAACCTCGCAGGGTTCAGAGTCCAGCCTCCGCGGGCACAACTGGACCAAGGCGGAGCCCCGTGCCCAGGGCAGCGCCTGGGACAGATCGGCTCCCTGCAACCCCACGCAGGGCCGCCCGCTGCCCAAGTCCTCCTCCTCTCCGTCCTCTCCCTCCTATAGGAGAGAGGAGTTCAGCTTCGAGGTCATCCCGCCGCCTCCGGAATTCAATGACCCTGACCCCCCAGCCCCGAGTATCCAGTATCCGGGCCACCGGGGCTCCCCACCCCGAAACAGCTTCTCGGACTTGGGGCAGACCCTGGACTCCTGCGCTCGCAGCTCCTCGCGCTTCCCTTCGGCTGCGCGCTGCGCGGAGGGCAGGGCCGCGGGCCCGGAGCGCTTCTCGGCCGGGGGCCGGTCCTCGCTCATCAAGAAGCGCCTGTACGTCGGGGAGGGCCACCGCGGCCCCGGGCTGCCCCGCGGCGGCACCCCCCGCAGTTTGAGCACCCCCAACTGCTTCGGACCCCAGCCCGGGGGCCCCGACATGCGACGCGTCAACTCGGTGGGACGCCCTCCCGCCGGTGGCCTTCACGCGCGGAGATTGTCCATGGAAGGGGCCAGGAGCACGGGCAGCACCGCGGGCCAGGCGGAGGCCAAGTACAAAGCGCCGGCTGGCGCTGACTATAGTTACGCCCCTGGGGCTGGCAGGTGAGCCGGTGTGCTGGTGGCAGAGGGCTTACTCTGGGCACCCCTTTGGAACCCGAGGAGCTCCCAGGGCTGCGGCCATCAGTCCAGGGGTATTTGGTTGTGTGGGTGACCCACATGGTTTGACCAGCGCCAACCTCTGAAGTTGGCAGTTCAGGCTTTCGAGGGACCAAATAAACCAATCTGGTTACTGTGGCAACAAGGATAGGTGGCCAGCTTACAGCTGAGAAAGGTGCGGGGTGTCATTCTACCTGTAACATAAGGCCAGCCCCAAGGTTGAATGGGCTCCCAGCGAGCTGATGTTGTTGGCTTTCAGGCCAAAGGCGGAACTCTGAGGCCCACTGGCTACCCTTTGGGCTGCGATCTGCAAAATCGGCTGTTCAAACGCCCTCCACTGGAGAAAGGCAGGGCTTCCTGCCCACATGGAGAGAGTTATAGCCTCGGAAACTCACAGGGACAGTTAGTCCCACCCTGTCCTGTGGGGTCGCCCTCAAGTCAGCGTGACACGGAAGTGGGTTTCAGGCCACAGAAGGAGAGAAGGGGCCCCTTTGCCTGCAGGGGACACTGCTGGCTATTCCCTTACCTGCTTCCTTCTAGCCTCATTCTCTCCCACCCAGTTCCCCTTGGCCCTCCTTTCTGCACCCACAGGAGGCCCAGAGCTTTTGGGGGGCCAGGGGCTGGGAGGGTCCAGATCTTGACTATCAGTACGTCCTTAGTGGAGGGCGCTTTCTTCACCTGCAGTGCCTAGATCAAAGGGGAGCCTGTGCAGCATTATCAGCCTTGGGGCCCCCGCCCTGATAAGACCAGGGGTTGTGAGAATAGAGTCACTTCCTTTTGTGTCCTGGGGGTGGCATGGGAGGAGTGATGACCAGCCAGCTACGGGCTAACCTCTCACTTGCTCCCCTCTTCCAGGTCTCCCCACAGCCCTCCGCACTACGGCAGCCCTGTCAACACATTCACCGTGAGACCAGGCACCCGCCAACCCATCTCCTATGCCTACGCGGGGACCCATCGGAAAGCCATGCCCTGAGCCCGGGCTTATCAAAGCACTGGGGACGGAATCTGGGCGCTTGTTTTTGGTGGGGGGTGGGAGGGACACAGGAGTTCTTTGCTCCCTGCAGATTCCAGGCGCGTGGGGTGGAAGCAGAGACAGACGGTGGTCCAGGGATGATCAGGAGTGGGCTGCTGGCTCTGGACTGTTTGCAGCTGGGGATGGGAGGGGAAAGAGGGAGGAGGTGAGGAGCCTTTCTGGGCCTATCTACTCCTCTGGGCTTTGACAAAAGGCGTACTTAAGCAGTGTTACAGGCACGGTCTCCTGAGCCAGGGACGGGGTGCTAACTGTACAGGAAGCCAACTGGATGGTGGCGATAGGGGTAGGGAATGCAAGGAGCCTCAGGGGGATCTCTTTAGCTTCAATCCGTCTACCAGTGGCCACCCACAAGGCGCCTGGGGTCCCAAGCCAGGGTTCCAAGCCACTTGGAGACAGGTCTAGGAATGCACACGGCAGGTGGAGAAGGTACCGAAGCGGAAGGGTTTTTATAGTAGGCAGGAGCAGGAAGGGGGGCACTAAATACAAGAGTGCTGAGCACCTGGTTCCCTTTTGTGTCCTGCAGGAGGTAGCAAAGGTGATGGTTCACCTCTCCTCTCTCCTGGTCCCGCTCGAAGCTCCCCCCAGCTCTCACAGAGGCCAGTCTGTGTAGCCTCCATCTGGCGGACTGGGTCTGAAGAGCCAGAAGGCTCTGGCCTTCAATGAGCAGGTCCCATGGGGGATTTGGAGGAGGCATTGACCCAAACCATCCTTCAAATTATTGGGGTCAGCAGATGTGAAGCCACCGTGCCGGAGGGCCGTGGAGCCTGAGCTGAGGGGCTGCTCGTGCGGTGTGGTCAGGAGGGTGTGGGGAGTCAAAACTGGCAGGACTGGACTGAGAGCACAGAGCCAGGGAGGCCTTCCAGGAGGGTGCCCATGGGGCCTTTGCCTGGGCCCTCCATGGCCTGGTTTCTAGAAGTAGACCCCATTCCACTTTCAAATGACCCTGGTTTAGGTGACACGTGGGCCCCAAAACATGTCAGGATGCCGTGTTCCTTGGTCTTTGGAGGGGACCGGGCCAAGCCGGGAGGGCAGGCAGGCAGAATGGCCCCTTCTCAAAGAAGCAGGCCTGTAGGGGACAGTCAGGGACCCAGATGTGGGCTCATCAGGACTTGTGGTTATTGGGGAACCAGGGTGCCTAGGCCAGCCACCCTGCTGTAGCAGATCATCGGGTACCTGTGTTCCCGAAACCAGCCCCACCCCGCCTCCAGCTCTCGCTCTCTGTATTTCCCTGTACCGTGTTTTATAAAAGAGTTCCCTGATTTATGTGCTTGAGGAGTGGGGTGTGGACTCCCGGCTGGCTGGCTGTTTCTCTGGGGTGGGAGGGGCACGGCTGGCTCTCACTTGCCTTGGGAAATGAACAGGCCAGTCTGGACTGGCTTCCAGCTGTACACTGCTGGCTGGGAGTGCCTGGGCTGTGCGGAGAGCTGAGGGCAGGCCGGAGGCCGAGTGGTGCCCCAGTTCCCCCTGGCCTTGAGGCTTTCTGGGTCTCTGGATGCCCGAAAGGAAGTATGAAGCAGAACGAAGGTGATTGGGGACCTGGGTCAGAACCTGAGGCTTTAAATAAGCAAGTCTCTTAGACACCGAGCCTCTGTTTCTTCTTCTATAAAACATGTGATGATCATACCAAAGACAAAGCAAAAAAAACAAACAAACCACCAAATAACACCCAGTGCCATCGAGTCAGTTCTGACTCAGCACCCAATACGGAGTCTCTGAGGCTCTCAGTCTTTATGGGAGCCGACCGCCTCATCTTTCTCCCTCGGGGCAGCTGCTGGATTCGAACTGCTGACCTTGCAGTTAGTAGCCCAACACCTAACCCACAGCATCATCCGGGCTACTTACCTACCTCATGGGCTGTTGTGGAGATGAAAGACGTGCATTTAACAAATATGTGAGTGGCTACTGGGTGCCCAACACTCAGGACTGACCCCTGCCCTGGGGAAGCCTGCAAGCTAGTGAGAAGAGAGCACAGGAGATCAGCATCAGTGTGATAAAGGCGCATGCGGTAGCAGAGGGCGGCTGGCTTTTCTTCAGCGGGGTGAGCAGGGCAGGCCCCTTGAGGGGGTGACCTTTCTCTTGACGTAAGCAGAGCATCCTGCACAGGGCTGCAACTGAGCAGTGTCAATAAACAGTATCTCTGGGTGACGGTGCCCTTACATTTGTGTGTGGCCCTTTGTCTTCAGAAAGCTTCAGCATGGTATCATTCCTGAACTTACCTCCCCAGACCGAGAACAAAGACATCACGTCAAAGCAGTGGGGAGAGGGGGGAGCTGTGTCCTCGGGGTCCTTTGTGGGAGAATGACGCCTTTATCTGAGAACCAGTGCTTCCAGGAAGAAGCCTGGGAGGCCAGCGGTCAAGGAGGCTTCCTTGTTCTTGCTCGCATGGGCCTCACCCCTCTTCCCCATGATGCCCGCTTCCTGGTGGCTCAGAGAAGGGCTCAGGGCCCTGCCCTCATTTCCCTGGCCTCTGGCCCCTTCCTTCGCCTCACCTGACACGAGACTTGCCACAGAGAGTAGTGAGTTCACGGAGGACCAAGGGGTAGGTGACCAGGGTCTCGTGTCTGGGCTCTGACTCACACCTGCTAGTGCTCTTGGGTCTTAGCTCATCTAAAAGGGGGTGGGTGTCGGGGGGCATGCACTTTGCAGCATGGACCTTGGGCCTCCGATTTCTCTGAGAAGCTGACAAGAGCTGGATCCCCGCCCAGAAAGATGCGCATGCATTTCAGGCGGTCTGCAGACACCCCACACACATACACACCGGGGGTCCACGGACTCAGTGTGACTGTGGTCACATTGACTGTGGCCACCACTTCCTTGTCTCTACTAGGAAAATCAAATGCGCTGCGGGTAGGGGGGCCGCTATTCCTAATCCCAATTTGTAGATCAGGAAAGGTCCAACAAGACAAGAGACTCCCTGACCCCAAGCTCTGTTCTACACACTTCCTCCAAGCTACCTGACTCCCTGCCCACTGACCCCGCACCCAGCAGTGCTCTGTCCCCAATCCATGTCTTTCCGGGAGGAGTAGGGTGGGGGAGGAGCCAAGTAGGACACAACTCTACTGGGGTGTCGGAAAGCAAGCTCCAGTGGGTGTGGGTGGAGCACCTTAACCACACCTTGGCTTCTGAAACCAGAATTCCACTTCGTGGCCCTGCCCAGCCCTAGGTAGCAGCCAGCACAGGTCCAAGTGGTCTCCCTGGAAGCTGGGATCTGGGGGGATCGGCGCCCTATAAAGAGAGACCTTTTCTGGACGTGCTTAGCTTCCCCTGGGGCCAGACCTGCTTAAGGAAAAGAGGCTCCCTCTGGCTTCCCGAGAGCCCTGGGCTCCCTCTGGGCTGGGAGAGACGCACACAGAGGCAGCTCTGGAACCCAGACGTGTGAGGAAGAGGCCTGGCCCTGCCTGCACACCCCACCTGTGCCTGCTTCCATCCCGGCTCAGAGGCCAGGGTGGCGTCCCGTCATTAGGCAGCCGCCAATTGGGTGCCCACTGATACCACTGCAGCCCCGCTGCACCAGCACCCATCCATGGGGAGGGGGGACGTGGCTAGCTCCTGAGGACAGGCTGTTGGGGCTGTCTTTAGTTAGGAAGATAAGAGCAGGTGCATTTGGGGGGATGGAGGGGACCAAAAGCTCCCTCATGAGTAAGGAGAGCCTTGAGCCCCTATTCACAGCACCCAGAGCCTTTCAAGTTTGCTCTCTGAAGACAGATCCAGGCTGTCTTCACTGCTGCCTCCCTGGGGCCCTCAGGTTCCCTCCCTCCTGGGCTCTTCCTTCTCCAAGTGCCTTCTGAAGACCAAGGGACTCTCCCTGCGGCTCACCTGGTGTTCCTCTGGGTCACATGTCCAACCAGGAAAGCGCCCTGGACACTGCCATCCGCATGACTGCCTGGCCAGTCCTTCGAAAGAAGTATTTCTTGTCTAACTTCCCTGGCACACACCTGTGAGACTGGAACAGCCGGAGTACGGGCTCCACTGTCCCTTACAGGAAGCCCTTCTGGGTGGGCATGCCCTGCTCAGAATCCCTCCCCACACTCTGCACCCGCTTCTCCTGACCCCCTCGTCCTTCCCCCCCAAGGGCCCAGCTGCTCTCACAGGCTCCCACTGGCCGCCCCTCCGCCCCCTGACATCACGTGCTCCACAATACCAGGGCCACCCATCTTCCTGCAGACAGTGCTCAGTATGTGTCTGCTGGATGAGCATTTCTCAGTGCTTGATTAAGCTCCGTTTCGCTGGCAGAAACCTTATCTTACCAAATAGACAGTAAGTTCCTTCAGGCCCAGGGAGTTGTGTGTTTCCCTAACCAACCACATCAAATCGTGTCACCCAGTCACCCAATAGGGAGCCCGATGGTGGTGTGGTTGATGGACAGGGTTACGAACAAAAAAAAATTCAGCAGTTCGAAACCAGCAGGGGCTCTGAGGGAGGAAGATGCGGCTTTCTACTCTGGTCAAAAGTGACCGTCTCAGAACCCCTGGGGGCTGTTCTGCACAGTGTTAGAGCATCGAAAGAAGTCAGCCTCCACTTGATGGCAGTGAGGGTTGCTAGGCTCCTGCCTTCTCTCTCTCTCTCAATCTCTCTCTCTCTGTCTCTCTCTCTCTCTCTCACACACACACACACACACACACACAGATCTGCCTTACCTATCATCTTCTTGTCTTGTTTCTCAGAACCTCCCAGCATTTATTCCAGACACCTAAGCACGCCGATCCTGGGTACAGCCGTGTCAACCCCTAGTCTTGGGGGCGCCCGGGTGTATCGGAGAGGCACGATAGCCCACAGGGTGTCCTGAGAAGTAGATCTCCAGCCTTTCCTTCAAGACATCTCTGAGTAGACTCAACCTGTCGCTGATGGGTGAGCAGCCAAGCAGGTGAACTTTTTGCACCACCCAAATATACCAAACCAACCAACCCCACGGTCACTGAGTGGTTTCCAACCCATGATGCACTGCTGGAGGGTTTCCGAGGCTGTGAGTCATGCTGGGGGCAGACAGACAGCCTCTGCCTCTCCCTACAGAACGGCTGGTGGGCTCAAAGCACTCATCTGTCAGCAGTCCAGTGTTCCCTCCACAGCCCCACCAAACAAAAACGACCCTCGCTGCCATCGAGTGGACGCTGACTCACAGCCACTGCACAGCACACACACTAGAGCTGCTCCTGTGGGTTACCTCGACGCCAAATCTCTGCAGGAGTAGAAAGCGTCTTCTTTCTCCTATGGAGCAGCTGGTGGTTTCAAACCGCTGACCCAGGAGTGTGCAGAGAGAATGCCACCGTACGCAGGGGAGCACAAAACAAATTCATTTCCACTCAAGCTCAAACTGATAGGGGGCGCTGCAAGCCAAGTAGCCAGTCAGTAGACTCAGACAAGTGCCGGGGGCTGACACACAAATGGAGCGGGGGACAGAAAATTCCTCCCCAAAGCCAACCTGGTGGCAAACAGAGCAGGTGACCCCAGGCCCTTAGACTCGCCCTGTGTCCTGGTCCTTCTTGCTGGCCTGACTCTCCTCAAAGGTGAAGACCCCCCAACCCATGACCTTGGGGGAAGTCTGGGTTGAGGAGGGCAGAGGTAGCAGGGCTGCCATCTCATCATTAAACACCTAGTGACAGGTACCTAGAAGAAGCCCAGGGCGCCCTTGTGGCTACTACCCTGAAGGTCAGCAGTTCAAAACCACCAGCCGCCCCTCGGGAGAAAATCTGGGCTGTCTACTCCCATAAACACTTACAGTCTCAGAAACTCACGGGGCAGTTCTACCCTGTCCGAGTCACTACGAGTGGGCACCGAATCGATGGCAGTGAGATTGGTTTGGATTTATTTAGAGCAGTGGTTCTCAACCTGTGGGTCTCGACCCCTTTGGGGGTCGAATGATCCTTTCATAGGGGTCGCCTAGGACTATCGGAAAACACATATTCCCGATGGTCTTAGGAACTGAGACACTGCTCTGTCTCCAGGCAGGTCCGCTCACCTGCAGAGATGCCCACATACCAGCACCCGGTGTGAAGACTGTTACCCATGCTAAACCATGCTTTAAAACAAATTTCATTTATTTTTCACTAGAAATAAAGATTTCACAATGTATTGTTTTTGTGATCTATCACTATAATTGTGGGAAACAAAGATTTCTCCCAAGTTGTCTCCCCCAAATACATGCCAAACTTAGCTGCTTTCTACACATGGCAGATGGCTATACACTTGGAAGTCAACAGAAGTAGGTCAGGGGTTATTCTCCCATCCAGGGGTTATTATCAGCCATCCAGAGCAAGCAGACATCATTGTTTATCCCACAAGTAGGGCCCACTCCCTTCTGATAAGGATAGTAGTTGACTGTTTCCTTGTAGGAAACCCCAGAGAGGTCAAGCCCACCCAAGGGTGACCAAGGTTAGGCTGCCATCATGAATCTAGGGTCCGCCCATCTTATCACATGTATACCCCTAGTCCCTCCCTTTCCTATCATGTGTACATCCCCAGTTCATCCCCTTCCTATGATGTGTATGCCTATGGTACTGCCCCTTCCTGTGATGTGTGGTTACCTGTAATCGTGCCCCCCTAAGTAGATATAACCGCTTGGTTAGCAATACACAGGGCTCCGGCCGGCCGGCTATCTCCGCCCGACCTCGCCTCGCTCTCCTGCCCTCCGCCCACGCTGTGCACGGACCTGCCTGTAAGATCATGGCCATCCAGGAGGTGAGCATGCTACCACGAAAGGGGTCTGACTTACTTATTCGACTCTCTTCTATCTCTCATGCTCTCTGTGATTTACTATAATCTTTATGTATCTTAACCGTGCAATTGCACCTATCGAACCCATGATTAGTTGTGGGGAGCTGGCATGTCCCCCCACATCTAATGATGTTCAATTTGTAACAATGAAAGTTTTGAGAATGATGAGGGCAATGAATGGACAAATGCGCTTCACACAATTGATATGTGTATGGATTGTGATAAGAGTTGTATGAGCCCCTAATAAAATGTTTTTTAAAAAAAGAAAATACATCCTGCGTATCAGATCTTTACACGATGATTCATAACAGTACAAAATGGCAGTGAGGAAGTTGCAACAAACATAATGTCACGGTTGGGGGTCAGCATGACACGAGGCACTGTGTTAAAGGGTCTCGGCATGAGGAAGGGTGAGAACCACTGATTTAGGAGGAGCCTGAGTGGCAC